GCCGGCGGGGTACCAAGCTGGCGGCCGCTGGCTTGGTAGGGAGGAAGCCCTGGAGGGGTACCAAGCCGGCGGGGTACCAAGCCGGCGACCGCTGGCTTGGTAGGGAGGAGCCACCAGGGGTGTACCAAGCCGGCAGGGTACCAAGCCGGCGGCCGCTGGCTTGGTAGGGAGGAGGCCCTGGAGGGGTACCAAGCTGGCGGGGTACCAAGCCGGCGGCCGCTGGCTTGGTAGGCAGGAGGCCCTGGAGGGGTACCAAGCCGGCGGGGTACCAAGCCGGCGGCCGCTGGCTTGGTAGGGAGGAGCCCCCGGGGGGGTACCAAGCCGGCGGGGTACCAAGCCGGCGGCCGCTGGCTTGGTATCTGGATGGGTTGGTTCGTCGCCAGAAAGGGTACCAAGCCGGCGTCGGGCGTACAGTATGCAGCGGCACGCACCCGACAGAGTCCGACAGAGCATGCATCCCAGACGCGGACCGGCAGATCCCGAGCTCAGGGAGCACGGCGCGTCGAGGGCTGCGCCCGCCCACTGGGCCTCTGCACTCCGTGACCCAGACGTGCGCCATCTCGATTTTTGTGGATGCGCGGTCCCCCGAAGTCCCGGCCCTTTCCCCGGGGCCGGCTTTCGTCCCGAGCCCTTTGATGACGGCCCCGAGGCCCAGCGAAGGCCCCCAGAGGCCGGGAGCGACGAAAAGCCTCCCTGCCTGGCTCTTGTCACGACGCGAGCATGTCTGGGGGGTGGGGCGGGCGGCGGTGCACCACCAATCAGCCAATGCCCCCACCTGCAGCGGGGAGGCCTGGGGCCAGGAGAGCCCAGGGGGCCCGCTCTCCCCCCCCGTTGTCTCTGTGGTACTTCTCCGTATCCCAAGATGGGGCTCTTGCTATCGATGGGACGCCTCCGCCTCACACTTGCCCGCTTCTTGCTCCCATATCCGAAGACCGATGATTAAACTCATTCATACTCAGACTCACCCACACTGTGGCTCGCCCATACTCATACCTACTCATACTAAGACTCACTCACGCTCAGACTTACCCATACTCAGTCTAACTCCTACTCACACCTACGCATACACGGAGTCAGTGCCACTCAGGCTCACTCACACTCAGACCTACTCATACTCAGACTGACTCGCACAAAGACTCACTCACACTCAGATCCTCGCACTCCTGTTTGTTGGTGTTGCAAGGCTCACCGCGATGAAACAGGCGGAGACTTTAGGGGAACCACCATAGGTGGGGATATCATCATCATCATCATCATCATCATCACCACCACCACCATCATCATCATCATCATCATCATCAGACTCAGAATCAATAAACACAACAACATCATCATCAGCATCAGCACCATGATCAGCATCAGTATCAGCATCAACAAATTCATCCTCACTATCATCATCAATAGCATCATCATCAGCAGCAGCATCATCATCAGCACCATCATCATCCTCGTCCTTATCGGCATCATCATCGTCATAGTCATAGTCATCATCATCAGCATCAGCACGGCCGCCACCACAGAAGAAACACCATCGCCACCATCATGGCACGCACGCACGCGCCGAAAGCACCAGCACCCCCCCTAGCACAGGCATGCGTGACCGAAATCAACCATCATGGCAGGCCGTATGATTCGAAACAGCACGCCCCGCTGAGACAGTACGACTCACTGTGTTTGAGTCCACGCGCAGTTTTCATACTATATTTCAAGACTAAGCTGAACAGCCTACACTTGGCCTCAAAAAGGCCCTCCACTGGGCCAAAGCGATGGGATTCGGCATGCTGATCGAACGTCGTTCTTATACTTCTCCTCATTTCCATAAAAACTACGTCCCTCTCCGCCTCTATCCTGGACTGTCTGCGCCCCAGCCCCTCATTCGGACTTCTGCTCTGGCATCAAGGAAGGGTCCCGGTGGACAAAGATGTGGCTCGGGTGGTACCTGTCAGAGCGGACTTTCGCATGTGCCTCCCCTAGCAAAAACGACATCCATCAATAGAACGTCTACTGCGCCTTTCGTCTCCCAGTTTCTGTCGCTCATGTGTGAGCTGGCGAGACCACACCTTACCCGTCGCCCTGCAGCGTGCCACGTCAAGGGGGATCCGATTGGTCTGAGATCGTCTCTGGGAGCGAAATGAGCAGGACGATTGGATTGTCCGCCAGTGTCGCCGTGGTTGCCAGCCACACCCCATCCTGACGTGCAGCAGCCGAATCGCAGACAGTACCAACAACAATCCATCGACGAGCTGAACGGTCCCAAGACCCGACCAGACACTCAAGTACATGTTCATGACAATTGAATGTATGAAGCGAGACATTGTGGTTGTGAAATGCTATGTGGCCGCGACGCTCCCACCATGACGAAGACACAGCGAACGCCAACAGACACACCGATTGGTTTTGCCACGGGGAGTAGCCGGGCAAAGCGCGCGCGACTCCCACCTGCAAGAAGGAACGACGCAAGCCACAAGACCTTCTCTCCCCAAACAATGCTTGCACTGGGTTTCGTCTCCCTTCTGCTCTAAGAAAGAGGATGGGCAGGGCGGGGTTTCGCCGGGTGCCCGGCTGTCGGCCTCTCGTGGGCGCCCGGTGGGTGCCCCCTGCGCCGGGTGGGTCGCCCATGGTGTTGCCCGGCGCCCGGTTGCTGCCCCACGCTGGTGGCACCACAGAGCTCGCACCACCCAAGCTTGCGCCACATAGCTCGCACAACGCAGCCTGCACACGAGATGGCTTTCACCACACGTACACAGGTTCCTGTCAAGCACAGGTTGCAGCACCAAGCTCGTACCACCTAGCTTACACTACACGTTTTGCAACACGCATGTAGCCTTTCATCACATTCGAACGCATCACATAGCTTTGGCCACATAGATTGCAGCACACTGAGTGCACATCGAGGGTTCAAAAGAAAAATGCTCAGGGTCGAAACTGGCGAACATCTTTTCACCGCAAGTTCCACGATCGTGCGCGACTGCACCTGGAACCTGCCACGGTTCCCTTGCTCGCCCATGGAGTTGCAGATGATAGAGTACACGGAGCAGGGAACAGCATAGAAAAGCCAGCCTAGAAACATATCAGACCGTCCAGACCGTACGACTGCATGTTAGACCATACGTTTCAGACCGTCCAAACTGTAGTTCCCAGCAGGACTTCAGCAATAGGCAGCACAGCGATCGACAACATAGACTGCTGATCGACCAACTTGCACACATCATCGACAGTCTGAACGCATTCCCCGCCCCCCAACCCTCAGCCCCGATGTGCTTCCGTCGGCCCTCCATCGAGATGGAAAGAAACTCGGGGAGGATAAAAAAATCAAGAAGCTGAAGGGCAGGAGGAGCAGGAGCTCTCATCCTGCATCCCTGCTTCCTCCTTCTCAATCCTTCCTCCATTCTCCTCTTACTCATCATCCTCCTCTCCTCCTCCTCCTCCTCCTCCTCCTCCTCCTCGTCATCATCATCATCATCCTCCTCCGCTACCCTCCTCCTTCTCCCCCTCCCCCCCCCCTCCCCTCTTCTCCTCCCTCTTCCGCCTCCTCCTCCTCCTCCTCCTCCCTCCTCCTCCTCCTCCTCCTCCTCCTCCTCCTCCTCCTCTCCCTCCCCTTTCTTCCCCCCTCCCCCCTCTTCCTCCTCCTTCCCCCCCTCCTCTACTCCTCCTCATCCTCCTCCTCTTCCTCCGCCTCCTCCTCCTCCTCCTCCTCCTCATCCTCCTCCTCCTCCTCCTCATCCTCTCGTCCTCCTGCCTCCTGCTCCTGCTCCTCCTCCTCCGCCTCCTCCTCCTCCACCCCCCTCATCAGCCCTCTTACTCCTCCACCACCCGCCTCCACTCCCCGTCCCCTACCACCCTCTTACACTCCCCATCGGCCCTCCCCTACCCCCTACCCTCCTCCACCCTCCCTCCCGCCCGCCCCCCCCCAATCCCACCACCCCTCCTTCGAGGAGGAAGAGCAGCAACAGCAGGTCACCCCCTGGAGGCATCTTCCGTCGACTCCGCTCTCGGGCTACATCTCGGCCCAGTGGGGCGCTGCCCCAGCGGCAGACAAACGTGGGGGCATGCAGCCGCCTCAGCAGCCGTCCCAGTCAACTGCAGCGGGGCCAGGGCTTTGGTTGCCCTGCCTGGCAAATTACATTACACCAGAGAAAAACCTCAATCAGTGGATGGTTCGAAAATTCGCGAGATGGATGTTGAAATCGATTGTGAGATCGCTAGTGAGACCGATAGTAGGATCGATGGTAAGGACGATAGTAAGGTCGATCGTGAGACCGATCGTGAAGTCGATTCAGTGAGATCGATAATGAGATCGATCGCGAGATCGTGCGATCTATAGTGGGATCGATTTTGAGATCAATAGAGAGGTGGTTAGTGAGATCGATGGTGAGACCGATCGATAAAGAGATCGACCAAGAACGAGGGAACCCAGAAAACCTGGGAACCCCGCCGCCCACCGAAATCGGTCCGGAACCAGCAACCGGGAACCCGGAATCGGGAACCCAGGAACCCGGCCGCCCACCGAGAGCCGCCCGGTGCTTTCGCCAAAGATTGCAATCTCCGCTAGGACCCCTTGAGTGCAAGCACTGATTGGTGAAAAATGCCTGGCAACCTCAGTGGCATATCTTCAGGTGCGTCATCACATCCGCGCAGATGTCGCGTGAATGTACACACCCACACACCCACACCCACACCCTCACACACCCTCACACACCCTCTCACACACACACACACACACACACACACACACACACACGTGCGCCGAAAACCCTCCGCTGTCGCATCCGCGGGAGAATCAGACTCGACTGTCATATGAACGTCGGCACGCGTGGCCACAGGCCAATGGACGCAATTTGGCATATCCTGTACACAACGTCCATCTGAAGAGCACAGAACTGTTACACCTGATAGATACCGGAGAATACCAGGCGACACCATCAGGCCTCGAAAGTCCGCAATCGTGGAACATGGCCATCAAACCATGGCCGAAACTAGATCCGCGACAACCCCGCTAGCTCTGGTGCATTCGATCAGCGGCTGCGCGCGGCAGTACAAGGGAGGGCCCGAGGGAGGCCGGGCTGCGCACTGAAACTCGTCGAAGATGGTGGTCCACTCCCGCGGAAGCACCTGGCAGATCGCAGCGGGCCCACGTCGACTTCCGGGTCGGACGGAAACGGGGGGTGCAGAATGGAGCTAGCGAGTCAGCTCACATAGCTGTCTTCCTGGCGCCGGAAGCGCCGATGTAGCGACGGAGGCATCCCGCGGCGGAGCGGAAACCAGCTGCATGCAGCAGATTTAATAACCCCTCCTTTCCCCATCCCCCCTGTCGTCCGACAGGAGACTTGGAGGGGTCCCAGGCGACAAAGAGAAGCGCGACCTGAGACTGGATAGCCTCTGACCCTGGTCAGGGTAGTTAGACCAGGCACGGGGGAAAAAGAAGAAGGGGAGGAAACGGAGAGTAGATGGGCACACAGGCAGGAGGTGGGGGAGGGAATCGCATCTGCTCGGCCAGTTGCAAGGGAATTCCAAACTCACTGGACCACCGACAGAACTCAGCCTTAAAACCGCTCAGTCCCTCCCAGCAGACCAGAGAAGGCTCGGCTTCTGCGGGAGGCCTGGCCCTCTGGGGCTCGATGCTGAGGGCGAGGGACCAGGGTCCCGAGGTGGACCGAAGCTGCCTTTAGAGGACCTTTTTTCCTACAGTGACCGTTCCTCCGTTCGCTCCTACGTAAGCCTCGCAGTTCCATGGCCCGCCTCCACCCATCCCTACAACTTGCAAAAGAAAGATGTTGCATTGAACAGCTCAAGGCCTCCCGGCCAGTGAGAAACCGATTACGAAGCTTCCTTGGGTCGTGTTCCTTCTGTGTCGCTGCTCAGCTTCTGGAGATGGGTCTGGTGAGCCCCACTTGAAGATCAGAACATATCCCGTGCTCTGCATATACTGCGTGGTACCTAGCGGACTCGCTTAACAGCACCCCAATCCTGAAAACAGGGTGCCCCTAGGCCCTGTTGAGGCAGCTGGCCACCGCGATGCGCCTTGCAGGCAGCCGCTGTTGTGTTTTCTCTCTCTCTCTCTCTCTGCCTTCCTCCTTTTTCTCCTCCTCCCCATCATCGTCATACGCCTTCATCCTGCTCATCATCCTCGTCACTCGTCCTCTTCCTCCCCCTGACCCATCATATTTAACTGCCTCTTTCTCCTCTTCCTCCTCATCATCATCCTCCTCATCAGCATCATCGTCATCATCATCATCAGCAGCATCATCATCATCATCATCATCATCAGCAGCAGCAGCATCATCATCATCATTAGCATCATCACCAACATCATCATGATCATCATAACCATCACCATCCTCGTCAATAGCATCATCAGCAGCAGCATCCTCATCGGCATCATCCTCATCGTAAGCATCATCATCGTCATCATCATCATGAGCAGCATCATAATCAGCAGCACAGATTCATTATCATCGTCTTCATGAACATCGTCATCATCATCATCAGCATCATCATCAGCAGCATCGTCATTGACATCATCCTGTTCCCAGCTCATCCTCCAATGCTCCTCTTCCCCCTCCCTCCTCCTCCCCTTGAACCTCCTCCCTCTCTCCCTCTCTCCCTCCCTCCCTCCTCCTCCTCCTCCTCCTCCTCCTCCTCCTCCTCCTCCTCCTCCTCCTCCTCCTCCTCCTCCTCCTCCTCCCCTCCTCCTCCTTCCCCTCCTCCTCCTCCTGATCCTCCTCCTCCTCCTCCTCCTCCTCCTCCCCCCTCCTGCTCCTCCTCCTCCTCCTCCTCCTTCTCATCCTCCTCCTTCTCCTCCTCCTCCTCCTCCTGCATCGCCCTCCTGCCCCCTCCACCTCCCCGTCTGGTGCCTCCCCGCGGGAGGCTTGGCGCCTTGGACACGCAGTTCGCCTCGGTAGCGATGACCACCACGTCGAACCTCTGACCACCAATCTCCTTGGCGGCGCCGAACGGCGGCGCGGGGCAGTTCACCTGGCCCGCCCGTGCAGAGAAAGCGGGAGGGGAAAGGAAAGGATCACCAGGATGGAGAAGGGAGACCAGGGGGGACGAAAGGGTAGGATAGCAAAGGGTAGGGTGGAGAATCAGCTCACGTAGCTGGTTTGCCTGGCGCCTCCTGGCGCCCATGTATCGAGGAATGGGCCCAGCGGCGGGGCCGAAACCAGCTGCATGCAGCGGCGAAGGAAGAGGGAGGGAGGGTGCACAGGGAGGAGAAGTCAGGCATGCGGGCCGCACCAATACGCAGTGGGAAAGTCGGCCGGGTGCGAAGCTTTACACAAGTGCACATCCGCAGCCCACGCGGTGTCGCTTCAGCGTTTTACTGCTCCAACGCTTACAAGAGCCTCCCGAATGCCCCGATATTCCAAGGAATCTGGGCTCGGGCGCCCAGCCTCCTTCGCACCGCAAACGGGAAGCTGGGGGCCACCACCACGCGCCTCGATTTGGACGACGCCAACGCAGCCAGAACTAGTTGCGGCAACCAATGGCGTGGACCAAGGCTGCACGCTCTGGCCCGCGGTCTTCGCGATTGCAGTGGCTGACCGCCTGGCCAAATCTCTCAAGGGCTCCAGCAAATCTCAACTAGCTGCATGGTGTTCTCCTACCTGGGCGAGACCATGGTGTTCGCGCCCACAGAGCACGCAGCTGGAGCACAACAACTTGCGGTGGACGCCCTCACCGACCACGGCTGCCACTACGGGAGTGCGGCAGAGTCGGCGCAGTGGCTTTCCTTCAACCGCGGCAACCAGGTGATCCTCTACAACCAGATTACCACTTCGAGTGAACCTCACGTGCCAACTTCGAGCACTAGTCTGCTCCGCCGGCTCACACTGCCAACACCGACGATATGACGGAACGCTGTACGGGGAGCCCCTCGACCCACATGAGTTCCACGGCGAGGCATGCGAGGTGGGCAACTCTCGAATCGACCAGCACGACCAGCCACGTGACCGACATGCTACGATGCCATCACGGGCCATGCTGCACCAACAGAATAACGGGTGCGGGGTTGGGATCACCACAACCGACGGACTGGGGTGCTAGAGGAGGCAAAGCTGGACTTCCAACCACGCGACCCTAGTGCTGGCCAGCGTACACTCTAGATACGGCACACGCAGGCTCGCCGGTTCCCATAACGACGGTATCGCGGCTGCCCAAAAATGGTCGACGACAAACGCGACCGTATCCCCCCTTGGACGGCCTTGACCTCGGCCCGATGGTCTTCGAGACCGTGGGGCGGCCGTCCGACGAGGCAAGGAGCTTCGTGCGAAGCTACGGCGCCTGCCTCACGGACGCCGAGCGGTCCGAGCTTCTCAGCCGGATATGGCGCGACATCTCCCGCACCCTGCAGCAATGGAATGCGGAGATAATCCTCCTCAGTGCCCTAGGCAGGTAAGCGCAGGCAGACCGCTTCTACCATCACGGTGAACAATACGACTATCACGACCACTGCGACGCCCTCTCACATCTTGACGCCGCACAGCTACCACCACCGCGACGGCGACCCCTACACCAGCTGGGGGCCAACGCCACGACGCCAGCGACCGTAACAACGACTACCACGACGACCACTGCCATGACCCGAGGCGCTGGTGACCACCGTCAAGACTACCACGACCACTATCACGACCATCACTAACACGCCCACCACCAGCCCAGCCACTGGCAGCACGACCACCACCACCACAACCACTACCACGACCACCACTGCGACCACCAGCACGACCACCCCAACCGCCCCCAGCCCCCGCCCCTCCTTCCTCTCCCTCCCATTCCCTGCTGAGCCGCACCTGCCGCAGCGTGCGCCTCGCCTTATTTTACGACAGCATGTCATTGATCAATCAAATAAGAGAACGCAGCCAGGCCAGGAATGCCACCGGGCCAGGCCTATGACCTGGCCCTGGCAGCAGCTGACGTGGAGCGCAGGACCCCAGCCCCCCCAATGTCCAGCCTTTGCCCTGGAAAGCGAAAGAGGACTCCGTCGATACTACTTGGAGTAAAGCACGGAGGAGGTCTATCAAGATGCCGACCGCTCCAGGCCAGAACTCGTCCCACGCCGTCTCTCCGACGCTGCCGCGGGGAACCTTTGGAACTGGACCCGGGCCGCGGCGGCGAGGGACCCTCTGCGCCCGTGCGCGAGCTCCCCCCGCCGCTTCCCCTTCGCCCCCGCCCTCGGGGATCGCCTCTCGGGCGGCCGCCGACCCAAGCAGTGCGCGCCTCCCCCTCTCCTTCTCCTCCAACGCTTCCTGAGTATGCTCTTCGTCCTCCTCCTGCTCCTCCTTCTCCTCCTCCTCCTCCTTCTCCTCCTCCTCTTCCTGCTCCTCCTCCTCCTCCTCCTCTTCTCCTCCTGCTCCTCCCTCCTCCTCCTCCTCCTCCTTCTCCTCCTCTCCTCCTCCTCATCATCATCATCAGCAGCAGCATCATCATCATCCTTCTCCTCCTCCTCCTCCTCCTCCTCCTCCTCCTCCTCCTCCTCCTCCTCCCCTCCTCCTCCTTATCCTCCTCCTTCTCCTCCCTCCATCCTCCTTCTCCCCTCCTCCTCCTCCTCCTCCTCGTCCTCGTCCTCGTTCTCGTCCTCCTCCTGCTCCTTCTGCTCCCCTCCTCCTCCTCCTCCTCCTCCTCCTCCCTCCTCCCCCTCCCTCATTCCTCCTCCTCCTCCTCCTCCTCCTCCTCCTCCTCCTCCTCCTCCTCCTCCTCCTGATCCTCCTCTCTCTTCTTACTCCTCCACCCCTTTGCATTATGAGTAACTACCCCCTGTCGCACCTCCAGACGTGTTGTTCGGGTAAGATGGGCGAATCGCGTGAGACTTCCTCCCTACTTGTGATCCTGAAGATTGGATGCTGCTAAGGAGCTTCACTGATGGAGGGCTGGCCATGTCCCACATGTGGCTTTCGCCTTAGAGCCGAGCACCATCGAATCCCACCAGCCCTTTGGGCGTGAGTGGTTTAGAGAGCCCGCTCTGTTCTCAACCCCCTTCTTCCCCTTCGGGGAGGGGTTTACCCCTCCCCCCCCCCCCTCCCCCTGGGCCTGGAGAGGTCCCTCCGCGGGTCGCCGGGGGGGTCTTGTTCGACTCCTGGGAGTGCTAAAAAACGACACCCCTCACGAGGATTCTGGCCCCGACGGGGGGAGGGAGAAAAGTGCTCCCCCCATCTTTGAAGCCAAAATCATTGATTTTACTACGGTTTTGGCCCCATTTTGGCCTTCTGAGGGGGCAGCGCTAATTAAAGCTCCCCTCTTCTTGCAAGCCAAAATCATTGATTTTACTAAGGTTTTGGCCCCATGTTGGCCTTCTGAGGGGGCAGCGCTAATTAAAGCTCCCCTCTTCTTTGATCGATTTCCTCCAAGATGGCCCCAAGAAGCGCCCAGGAGGCACCAAGAGGCCCCAAGATGGCCCCAAGAGGCCCCCAGGAGGCCCCCAAGAGGATCCCAAACGGCCCAAAGAGGCTCCCCCGAGGCACCCAAGACGCTCCTGGAAGCCCCTGGAGCCGCCAAGAGGCCCCCAAGACGCCCCAAACGGCCTCCAAGAGGCTCCCAAGAGGCCCGAAGAGGCTCCCCCGAGGCACCCAAGACGCTCCTAGAAGCCCCTGACGCCGCCAAGAGGCCCCGAAGACGGCCTCCAAGAGGCTCCCCAAAACGACTCACACCACGACGAGGGCCCCGAACGACTCACACCACGAGGAGCCCGAACGAGTCACACCAGGAGGAGGGGCCCGAACGACTCACACGACGACGAGGGGCCCGAACGAACTCACACCACGAGGGGCCCGAACAACTCACACCACGAGAAGCCCGAACGACTCACACCAGGACGAAGAGCCCGAACGACTCACATCACGAAGAGCCCGAACGATTCACACCAGGAAGAAGGGCCCGAACGACTCACACCAGGACAAGAAACCCCAAACGACTCAAACCACGAGGAGCGCTTTCTCTCCCTCCTCCTCCGCCTCGTCCTTCTCCCGCTCCCACCACAAGGAGGATGTACAAGGAGGCGGGAGGAAGGAGGAACAGGGGAGATATGCGGGGGCAGGCGGAAACACGCCTGAAAAACACGACTGTCGGCATGCTTCGCAAGAGTTGCTGTTTTGAGATGGGCTGGTGGGGATACGCGAAGCGTAAAGAACTAAACAGTTTGCATGAGTTTCACAGAAGGAAGGCGGGTGGCTTTCAGCATGTAGCTCTCGCCTCAGCGCCAAGCACATTCGAATTAAAAGTTCGCAAGTGCTTCACGGATGGAGGGCGGGTGGTTATCAAAATGTGGCCGTCGCCGAAGCGCCGCGCACATTCACCTTAACAGTCAACACGGGCTTCACGGATGGAGGGTGGCTCCTTTTCAAAATGTGGCCCTCGCCATAGCGCCGCGCACATTCGTCTTGCTAGTTCGCAAGAGCTTCGCAGACGGACCGCGGCTTCTTTTCAAAGTGTGGCTCTCGCCTCTGCGCCGCTCACACTCGTATGCAAAAAGTTAACAACGGTTTTAAAGATTCGTATGGTTGATGGCCCAAGAATGGCGTCCTGGCGCAAATCTGGATGGCCAGGACGGAAGATTCACGTTCAATCTAGCGGTGTTGAAGTTACAGGAAAGGTGTTCTGGCACGATTCGGGAATGTCACAACGCAGCAGTCACGTTTATGCGCGGCGTCGAAGTCCCAGGAATGGTGCTATGGCACGGTTAAGGATTCTCAGACGGCTGTCTTCCAATAGGGCACTTCCCGCGATGAAAACTATTCATTCCAGGGGCCTGTGAAGAAGGAACTTGGAAGAAGGGTTGATTGCAACATCGTTTACGCGTCTTGGGGTTACTCTGGTCCTCCTCATCCTCCTCCTACTCCTCCTTCTCCTCCTCCTAATCCTCCTCCTCCTCCTCCTCCTCCTCCTTCTCCTCCTCCTCTTCCTCCTCCACCTCCTACTCATCCTCCTCTTCCTCCTCCTCCTCCTCCTCCTCCTCCTCCTCCTCCTCCTCCTCCTTCTCCTCC